ATGAAATATATATAAACTACAAAACTGGAAAAAAATTATTTGATTTCTTAATTTAGAGTCTCCGTTTATTAAAGAGGTGTTTTTTTATTTAAAACGTTGGTGATATAACAGAAAAATACCTTAATTCAGAAACGATTTAAGTTTTAAAAAAAAGGAAAAAATTCAAGCGTGACGTGACGTAACACACACTGGCTTTTATATAGGGTAGATAACGTGACATATAGTGGCATCTAGAATATATCAAAGTAATAACCCGAACGAAGCCGGATACTTTCGCTAGTTCTTGAATATTTGCAGTGTTCCAATAGGATAACTTCATACTTTAGATCTGACAACACTGATTACTGTGTTCGTTGTATTCCAGCTGGCCTAAAGAGCTCTGGATTGTGCAAAACGCGTCGTCGTCAATGGATATGACGAATATAGAGTGGTTGAAATACTATTGTTATAATCTATTCTAATTTATGAATATCTCTAAGAGCCGAGATTAAGAATGTAGTGTTAAAAAATATAATAGGCCTAACATAATGTCTTATGCCAAGTATAACTGAATATTCTAAATTGTTAAACTTTCATGACAGACTTTTCTAGTACTAAAAATCAAACAATTGATGAATATTAGTTAAGCCTAACAAGTACCGGAAGAAACCCCAGGGTTTTAATAATTGGGAGAAGCCTATACTAAAATATTTCAGTATTCGTTATAGTAATAATATTAATTTTTAAAAAAGCCTGTTAGGTCTAAAAATGCTTCATAAAAAATTTATATTCATTGTATCGGTGGGAAATAAAAATAAAACGCATGGTATTTTTCTAATTTTCCGATTTCCACATACAGAATGTTAACTGTTAAGAAAATCATCAATCCACCTTTACGAATAATGGTCTTCTTATTGATATATATATATATATATATATAATCAGCAATTAAACAGAGGTTATGTTTACTTGAATATGCTTGTGCTGTTGATGATTTACTCATTACAAAAAAAATTCACAAACTGATATTTGTTCGTCTGAGTTATGATTCACACACACCCATTCCTTTATACAACTTGATATGTTTGTTTAGTATTAAGCACAAAGCTACACAATGGGCTATCTGTGCTATGCCCACCACAGGTATCGAAACCCGTTTTTTAGCGTTATAGGTATTAAACCTTACCATTGAGCCACTAGGGGGACTCTTCTTATTTTGATTGTTTGTTTTATAACAACGCCACATTGAACTATCTGCTGTGTCCACTGTGGGGAATCGAACCTCGCATTTTAGCGTTGTAAGTCCGTAGACTTACCGCTGTCCCATCGGGGGGGGCTCTTGATATTTTACGAATCTAGATATTCATCGTTAAAATGCTAATTCTCCGATCTCATAAGGAGTAGAGGACAAAAATCATATTCCATCCCCGCATAAAGAATAAACCCACAATACTTTTATTGGCTCTCACTTCTGCAGCAAGTCAGGAGGAACGTCTAATAAAGCATTAGGAGATAAATACACGTGTTTAAAAATGAATGCAGTCTCTCGAGAACTGTTTCTCACAAACATCATCTCTATACTCCCACTGCATACTAGTTTCTTATTCTGTCAAGTATGCACGTTCATGTTTAATCACAAAGAAATGAAGCACGTGGAGTTTTATTTGTCAACTCTTTTGTCTTTTACATCAATATAGTGTGTTGCAGTTGTTTGCACACGCCACCGATAGTTATGTACGTGTGAATCTTGTTAAAATAGTAACAACATAAACATGTACACATCGGCGATGACAGTTTACACGTATCACACCTACACATCAAGAAGCACGCGTTTTATTAGCATTTAGTGAACCTGCGCACTAGAAAAAACTACAGTTCGCTTCTTATTAGCATAAACCTGTTGTTTATGCCTGTACGCTGAACCCAATAGGTTGACGTTGTTTTAGCGCAAAGCCACACTACGAGCTATCAACACTCCGCACACGGCGGGGTTTCGAACCCCGGATTTTTGCATTGTAAATCCTTAAACTTCCTGCTGACCAATCGGATTACGGACCCTATGGAGCACGTGCTAAACAGAGAGCAATTCAAACACCAAACGAGTAACTTCTATTATTTCAGTTACAACTCATCCAGCATCGGATTTCTTTTAAAGTGTACACTTATTATTATCTTATTTGAAATTACACAACATTCCAATGTTAGTTTTAATGTGAAGAAAGGATTTTTGTTTTGTTTGAAGTTAATCACAAAGCTACACAATGGGCTATCTGTGCTCTGCCCACCACGGGTATCGAAACCCGGATTCTAGCGTTGTAAGTCCGCAGACATACCGCTGTGCCACTGGGGTGGGGCGCTTTGTATTGTCAGTTTCGGATTGTGTTTTAGTGAACGCTCCTGAAGAAGCTGTAAAGCGAAACGTTGAGTGTTTAATTAAATAAAACTACATTTTGGTGTTATAAGGTCGTTTACTTCTAGTATTAATGTCTTCTGTACACCAATATACACTACAGAAATTACATGAGGATAGAAACTACAGTATAGAACAAACTGTTTCAGAAGTTCACGAAAAGTCACGCAAACCTTTTTTCCCGTCTCAATTCTTTGGATACTCTTATCCGATCGGATAATGTAATTTGACTGTCACTCTTATTGCACATTTACGTTCCCAAAGTGCAGAGCCGAGGCTCCGACAGTAATCTCGGAGGCCCTGGCGAAGCGTCTTTTTCCGGCAGCAGGTCTCGAAAAATTAACTCTCAGATTCACAATCCGTCGTGCTAACTACAGGGCCACGCCCAGCCCACGTGAAAAAGACCCTAGTAAAAGGTGTATACGTAAATGGGACCCCTCGCACAGACTAAACAGTAAAGTAATTAATTAATATTGGGTACGATAAGTCTCAGATTTTCGGGGCAGCCGCCGAAGCGAGGGAAAAAACAGCAGGGAAATATCATTTCTTATATTTATTATGAGATCTGCAGAAAAAAAAATACACCACAAATAAACATTGTGTAATTAATTATTAGCATTATTAGCTCATGTATAGCTTCGTACAGTTACAATGGCTATGGGATGTATCCCAACTGGGTTACTTGCTTGTAACTTGATGATAAATATTCTTTTGCCCTCTCTCCAACTCTTGACCAAGGTAATATAGTGTATGATTACAAGACCCCCCCCCTCCCCACTTCTATCTCGGTGACACCAAAAGTTGCCTTTTATGTGAAAAACCTTCATTTTTTGAACACATTCAATAGAATTATTATTTGTAATGACTAGCTTTTTGTAGAAACTATATATGTAATGCTTTGAACATCAATGTTAGTGAAGAACAATGGGCAAATCAATCTATTAGACATTAAATATCACACATTGTTTACTTTGGGTGAACAGGTTTGGGGTTGATGTCAACCCAGCCCAGTATAAGTCTATGTCATCTTGACTGTGAGGAGTGATGAGTACAATACTGTATCATGCTGTGGAACAGCAGTAAGTCTTTGGATTTACAATGCTAAAATCAGGAGTTTGTTACCCTTTGGTGGACAGAGCAGATAGCCCGATGTGGCTTTGCAATTGTTGAGATTAAATTTTTAACACCCTTGTGCCTGAAAGATTCTCAAATTTTCTTCACAGTAAGAGTAAAGCCCGAGATTCGCAGGTTGCCAACCCTTGGTCTAGTTGTACAGGAAGTTATCAGTGCCTAGATATATTGTGACATTTTGAAATGAGCTGGACTGTATTGATGAAATTCTATGGTGTACGACCACATCTCTTTCAACACGTCACATTCTGGCAGTGAAATATCATCCAAAACCTGTTCAGCCCACAGCCTAGACCGGAATCCAACGTAACCATTCTCAGGCTTCTGGGAATGCTGCTTGACATAGGAAAGGGAAAACCCTGAATCTCCACTGTACTAGACAAGTTGTCTATTTCACCAACAATTGAAGAGTGACTCAAACAAGACTGCAATTAATTCCAAAGGTGGTTCCCACTTCTTATAAAACTCCTATTATCAAAATATCACAGACACATATACATGATCAACATGATTTATATATTCCCTTCTAGATATACTGTAAGTATATCTATGTGTAAAAACATACTAGAAAGTTTTTTTATTATTATAAAAAGGTCGACCAAAATGCACCAATTATAGTAAAAAATATGACCAGATGCAAACATCGTGAATTCATTATATACTTAATTTGCCAATCAAAAGGATAAACATATAATTTTTATGGACTTTATGGTAAAACTATAAATATGAAAATGTTCCTCCTAATGGCATGGTCTTCATATATATTAATTCAACAATAATTCAGAAATCTACACCTCTCAACTTCTACAGTCCGATGTTCTACCATACAGCAAAGAGAAAAAATAAGTTTCCACAAAAATATTTTACTTAGCTGTCAAAACTTTACTTAATTTTTTTTTCTCCCACAATTAACATTAGAAAACCATACTTCAGTAACTGAATAGCATTCATCATTTCAATGTCTTCACTGTACGTCCTGTTTTAGTCTGTATATATATATACAAAAAGAAAAAAAAACCTTCTTAAGTTTGTTATACATACTTCATGTACATATTCTGAATCAATCACTCTGACTGTATCATGTAAAATATTATGACTTGAAATTTTTAGGATTAAATTGATGATTAATTATTGCTAACCTGATTTCAATCAGCTGTTCTTATATTCTGCAGTCTCATGAGGTATTTCATCATATTTTTTATACACATGCTCATTAAAAACCACAAGCAAACTAAATGTGGCAATAATAGCTGTGAAAACAGTTCTTTCTTCTACTTGATTTGCTGTTGCTCTAAAGACAGAATATTGTCGGACACTTTGGAGTCAAAATATTCAATTCAAAAAAATAAAAATAAAGTGTAACCTTTTATAGTAATAATTGCTGAGACATTTTTTTTCATCTAAATTACATACACGAAAAACAAACCCTAACTCTACAACAAGAAGACTTAAAAATGTACAAATAGAATAAAAGAAAAACAAGCCACAGAATGAAGTGTATCACATCTCTCGTCTGCAAAGGATATACATAAGTTTACAACAAAAATCTGTTGACTGATGACAGTCATAATAGAAGTAGTTATTACTTTATAATACATTGTATGTTTCAGGCTTACAACAGATAAATTCAAGCACTAAGTCCTTGTTTTTATTCTCCAGCTTCCAAACCACCCCCTATAGCTTATAAATTCACCTGCACCAGTTTACAATGGTTGTTTTATAATGCCAATTACTGGAAAACAAATATAATATTCAAGTAACAATAAAATTAAAATTTTAAAGAAAAATATTATTATGATTTTGAAGCAATACTAATTACTGGAAAACTTTCAAAGATCCGAAAAAAGATTTTAATGTCTCTAATACAAACAGCCAAAAGCTTTGGATTTTGCTTCATATATATTCACACAAAGCTATTCAAGGACTATCTGTGCTAGCCATACCTAATTTTAAACTCATAAAACTAGAGGGAAAGTAGCTAGTCAACAGTATCCGCTAATAACTATACGTCTATTAGTCTAATCATGCCTGACCAAATAGTGGGATTTGACTGCCACCCTTATAATGCACCCATAGCCCCAAAGTGTGGAGTGTTTTGTTTCTGCAGTAATGGGAAGTGAACAAATGAAACACCAGGTTCATAATTTGGTATGCTAACCATCAGACAATACTCAGCCACAGAACCTTTGATTGTAGGAAGCTAAGAAAGAGGAATGTCAATAGTATAGATTTCACTACCTCACGAATCATGCAGTTTTGTCCACCAAATCCTAAGCAGTTTCAAGTAAATTCCAATTTATTTTATTTTCAGATACTTGTCACTAGTCCTCACTAAACTTGACATTGATATAAGTGTAAGGCAGTACAGTCTTGTACTCAGATCTACACTTACACAGAAAGTTAGATTAGCCCAACATTACAGGGCTCAAAATTAAGGGTGTCACACTTGCAAATAGCTGGTTAGTGCTGCAGTAAAACTTAAGAACACACTTTAAAAAATTACTAGTAAACATTTCAGAAGGAAAATTCACAGATTCTTACTACTGAGTGTCAGTACCCGAGTCAGTCGTTTATATTGCAAGATTCTGAGTACAGAAAGTTACTATAATTGTGAATAACAAAAATGTTTCACTTGCTAGTGCCATGACAGTTTTTCAATCCCAATTTGAGCTGCATGGCATAACCATGCTAAATATCAGAAAATAGGTGACAGAGGGAGCTACAGTTTTAGCCAATATCATGGATATAAATACTGTACCCAAGTGGTTATTCATTTAAAGTAATAATGAAATAAGAATCACAAAGTTTTCCACATTACTTTTAATTTGTCAATAATTAACACTTAAACAGGTACTTTTAATAATATTTTTTATAGTACAGGGTTGCTGTCAGCTGTGAAGTACTGCAGACTTTGTTGATTCAGGTGCTCATGGCCTGGATACAGCAGTTTTCACTCAAAATGAGCATCTTTTAACTTTTGTGAAATAGTTAAATACAAACAGTATTACGTGAAATTAAAATGAGTTTTAATATTTTAAAATAACACCAGATACAAAAGATTTATGCATATAAATATGACATGTATTTATAAATATGTAATGCATGAAATAATTAAGTATGACATAGTTACAATTAATTTTAGAGAAGAATACTGATGTTACTACTAACAATACTCAAGCTGCTAGCGAAGTATACAGGGACCATTTGTTAGTGTCTTCAAAAGTCGAAGCCAGCATTAATATTTTGTAGCAAATAATAGTACCTAAACCACACTTCACAAATATATATATCTAGGATCCAAAACATTTACCAAAATGTTCTATTAAGACAGAAAAAAATTGAAAACATTAATGTCTACTTAGAGACGTTTTTGTGACTTAAACATGGGAGTGTGATGCAGGATAGTAACACTAACTATAAATAACTTGGTGGTAGGGAGAATGTAGCTGTATTATCAAAGTTACAGAATGTTGACAAACAGCCAATAACACACACAAATTATTTAAAACAGTTAAAACTTTTTAAATAAAATGTGGTCTTTTCGAACATAACAAAAATCCCTTTCAATCAAAGTGACTATGATTATGTTTAGTTTTCAACAGTCGTACCTAGCATGTAATAAACTATATACGGTGTGTACACGTGTAAATATATTGTTTCTACCAACAATACTAATTATATAGCACAATGTTCTGCTTTTATCGAGAAACACAACTCTCCTCAACCCACGTTTGACAGAAAGCAACTTTTGGTTACAAACATACACAACGACAAACTAGTGTTCTTTCATACAATTTAATTATAAAGTCTACCTTTTGTCAGTTGTACAAGTTTATTTTTGCATTGAATGTAAATCAGCTTTTCCATGTTAGTGTATACATTGGTCAGAGTAACATATTAATCCACTTTTTTCAATTCCATATATTCAAATGATGATGACAAAACCTTGTCGAAACGTTGTACATTTGCTGTTATGTTAAACTTATATTAAAGTTTTTCTTCATTACCCATTCAAGCCATTACTAATTCCATATATTAGACAATAATCTTTATATGTAACATAATAAAAATACTTGACACTTGCTGGCATCCATAACATTTTGGAAGTTAAATATTGTGGCAGTATTAGCCAACATGTGCACTTTTCAATTATGGTAAAGAAAACAAATGGCAAAAAAACTGTTCATGTTTTTTTGAGTGTGACATTGTCTAACATAATAGCATGGACAGAAACTAAGATTAGTTTTTGTATTTATCAAGAAATGAAATAATTACTGAAATTTAAAACTTTTTGTCCATTAGGCTTACATAACTTGATCTTACACTAACAATACAAACATGGGATTAATATTGCAAAATTTGAAACTTACAGGTGCACAACAACTAATTTCATTCGAATTTTGGTTAAGCTACATTTAAGTAAAGTTTTAACATTCAAATTATTAAGATCCATCGAAAAACACAGATACTAACACGAGAGATTATGATTTTACAACATGTTTGTAAACTTTAATAATCTAGACAGTCTTTCATTCCCTCTCAGTAACCATATCATGGTCTTCGACGTGTTGTGGTTACATGTTTGTAAACTTTAATAATCTAGACAGTCTTTCATTCCCTCTCAGTAACCATATCATGGTCTTCGAAGTGTTGTGGTTATGTTTACACTTTACATATTTACCGGTAAGCTCAATAAAATAGATACTGGATTACATAATACAAACGGTAAACTGGGCACCCCTCCCAAACAATTGCAAAACAAACTAAAATGTAAAATCAAATTTTAAAATAATGCTCACAGTCAAAAAATGTAATGCAAAATGTAAACAAATATTATTAAAAACAACAGTACTAATATGGTAACAAGTTTCTTTACTACTGTTTTAGTCTTTACAATGTTTACATTGCAAAATAATTTGTATGTAGATAGATGTTTTGGAAGATGAAAAATTTCATAATGTCAAACATATCCAAATTTTATCAATACATTGAACTTGTGGTTTGCAAAAAGACACCAGGGGGCAGCATGCTACAAGAATACAAACAAACAGACGTTATCACAAAGGTCCAGACAATCAAATAAAAGTATGTTCATTGAATTCTCAAAATATGACCTATCTGGAAAAAATTGATACCAAGCTGTATTTAATATCATTAAAACCAGAATTTTGTGATCTGTGACACATCCAAAATTCGTCAAAATCCTTTCTGTTACACATCCAAAATTTGTCAAAATCCTTTCTGTGACACATCCAAAATTTGTCAAAATCCTTTCTGTGACACATCCAAAATTTGTCAAAATCCTTTCTGTGACACATCCAAAACTTGTCAACATCCTTTTTGGGAAATCGTTTTAACATTTTTCTTACATACACTAAAACAATAAACTAGTTTTGGGCCTAATAAGTCTGAAATCGTGAATTGTGTTGAAATTGTGAAAATGAAATAATTTCCTTGGCAAATTGTCAACTTTGTTTTTTGAAATTTCTAGAAAAAAACTAAAAGAACTATGGTAGCAACACTTTAAAATCAAAGAAAAGCAAAGTGTAGAAAAGGATTGCCCCAAATAGCAAGTCCTATTTATCTTCATAACTCTGCAAGAATTAAGAAGGAGAATTTTGATAATCAAAAACAGGGTGTGCTGGCTTTTCATTGTGCATTTTGGTGGAAATAACTAAAAAAAAAAAAGGGGCTCATCTTATGCAAGTTCAGTAGCTTTTTATGTATTCTGAGTTACTTGACTAGATTCATTTTGAAAACTTAGATAACCTCTGGGATTCCTTTTCTTTGCAGAAACCAAAACGGCCACAGTTCACTTCAAAGGATTATCAAAGAAACTTTCTCATAATAAACTGGACAGTAGAAATATTGGCACTAAAAACCAGGCTTCAAACTTTCTCATAATAAACTGGACAGTAGAAATACTGGCACTAAAAACCAGGCTTAAACTTTCTCATAATAAACTGGACAGTAGAAATACTGGCACTAAAAACCAGGCTTAAACTTTCTCATAATAAACTGGACAGTAAAGATATTGGCACTAAAAACCAGGCTTAAACTTTCTCATAATAAACTGGACAGTAAAAATATTGGCACTAAAAACCAGGCTTCAAACTTTCTCATAATAAACTGGACAGTAGAAATACTGGCACTAAAAACCAGGCTTCAAACTTTCTCATAATAAACTGGACAGTAAAAATATTGGCACTAAAAACGAGGCTTAAACTTTCTCATAATAAACTGGAGCATAGTGTATTTTGTGAAAGCCCATGAATACTGCAAGATAATTACTCCCAACACAGATAATATTGCATTTAAAATCCCAACACAATCTTCTGGCATAATTTCTTTTGCATACCAAAAGTTCATTATTAAGTAATTTTCTCTAATTCTAGAATACAGGTCTTCAATTGGAAGAGCCAGTGAAGAAATGAAGGCCTATCATATGTCACATGTAATTATTCTGACAAAATTTTAGCCTTAAGCTCATTTTTAAGAAGGTAAATTGAACAAGGTATAATAATATTTAACATGTGTATATTCTCTGTGCAGTGATTCATATACTTTCTCGCATCTGGAGAACAGGAAACATAGTTAAATGTTATCCAAACCATTTCATTGATCAAATGTTGTAAAAAAAATTTCTAAATACTCTAATGTAATGTGAATATCAAACAACATAAGTGAAGATATGCTAGGGTATCTTATTGTAATGGAGCTTGCGATGTACGTGTCCAAAACTCAGATCTCGGAAACTACTGCACCGATCATCACCAATCATAACTGGATAAATTTTTATAACTGAGCAATAAATAAAACAATTGAAATTTCCATAAAAATGATATGTTTCAGATTTAACCAATAAAAAGTACAAAAAAGGAGTAAATTTCAAAAATAAAACAATCAAAAAACATTTTTAAAAATTATTTGTTTTTCTTTAGTGAAAATCTCGTAAGTGTTGCAACAGAAAAGTAAGGCACTTTCATTAATAACTGCATCTACAAAAAAATACTTCAATGAAATTTACTCTGTGATGATAGCTCATTTTTAAACTAAAATTTCAATAAAATCCTTTTTCTCATGTATGGTGAACATTATTGAATGTCAAGTATGAGTACATTGTTGTAGAACTGTCAGACAATTCCAGAAAAGGCCGCAGGACCAATATCCTTCCACAGTTATACCTGCCTGGAGGGACATTCTCTGGTGGACACTTTATTAATCACAATATTGAAATCAGTACAATAATTATTTGTAGTAATAGTTACAAGATATCCCAGTAAAACTGGGATCATCCCAATGTTTAGTCTCTTTTCTCCAATCAGAAACAATAAAAGTATCACTGTCCCAGTTTCTCTGTACCTTAAGTTAATGTGAGTTTGATATGTATGGTTTGTAATTATAGTTTGCTTGTTTTTTTACTTGGACTTGAACAATCACCTGACAGACAGATCACACGGTAGTGTTCCCTCCCTATCTGCTACGTTTTCTTAACCTAACCTGTCATTGAGCACCGTAGGGGTGGAGATTTGAAGACCTGCCAGCTACGAAAAAAAACAAAAAACACACGAAACAACATTTATCTATTGAGTAGGTTCACAAGAAAACTTAGGCGTATTTTTCATTTATTATTATTTATAACTAGATACGTTTTTTACCAGGTTTTGTTTGTCTATCGTTTTAAGATGCGATGCAATAAACATAAGAATATTTATCAAATGGTAAAAGGTGTCATTTAAACTGTTTCAGAGCTGTTAGTGTTACACTTACACAGTAACAGCGTGAGTTACAACTTACGCAGCGTCACTCCTTATACTTAGTTATAAATATAATTTAAAACGCCCCAATTTTTCACTCCGAAAATCAGGTAACCTTACGCTTTACTGGTAGTGGTAGTATACTTATTATACTGTACTTGTTACTGTTGAGATTAATGAACAACCTTCGACAAACTATATAAAGTAACTTCTTACAAAAAAAAAAAAAGGCATTGCAACTACTAATACTATTTACTGTTATCGTGTTAAGCCTACTTTTCTCCAGCGCCATTTGTTTTAACTTTTAAGCCCGATTTTCTCCAACGCTATTTGAATACATAGCCTAAGCCTAATCTCGCAGTTATTCGACTAATACTATAGTGGGCAATACCAATGTAATAGTTAAAAAGATATCATTGATTTCTTTTATTATCAACATAACGTCAAAATTTTTTCGTTTTCCTTTCTTGAATTCGCTAGAACTAGATGTGCATTACTATATTATCAATATCAGTACTTATCTCAAAATGTTAACACTACTACTACTAGTATTTCGCCATTCGACATACAATATCACATTCGCACTATATTACCAGCAATTAACTTAAGTTACATGACCATTAAAACAGGATGCTGCTTTTGTTAGACGGTTACGTCACGGTTAATGTAAATATAATTATCTTGGAAGTTACGAGTTTTAATGTTCAGATATTAATATTTCATTATTAAAACAAAACTTTAAAAGTTATATAAGATTATTAAATGTTAAGCCTATGTCAGAAAAATGCTCAAGTGTAGCTACAGTGTAGATCCCAGTTTGTTACAATTCCTAGATATAAGTGCGCTTGATCAAATAACAAAAACAAAGCACTTTCAGTTTTACTTAAGCACTTAACACAACTACTTGGTGTAAGCTCCCCACATTATGTCACCCACTGGACAACACACCTCAGTTTTATTAATGCTCAGCTGAGAACTTACCAGTTACGTATTTCTCGTCACCAACTTTGCCACAATCCGAGTGGATAAATTTTCAAAAACGTAGCAGCCACGTCAAGATACGACAGCTCCGTCACATTGAGAATGAGTCTTTCTTACACGTATGACCAAATTGTATTGTTCCGCATGACATCATGGTGCTAGGATCTTATTCGTTAACTCATCATAAAAAGTGCATGGTGTTACTTCATTGGTCCTTTAATAAACGTCAGGCTAAGCTTATTTGCTTATTCCTATTTTCTTCATATAGAAGGAAAATATGAGTAATCTGCGTAATAAAGGGCAACACAACTTTTATATATTTAATAGCTTATGTCTACATAAAATGTAAGTATTTGATTTTACAGAAATCTTAATAAATAAAGCTGCACTACTTTTCCTGTTTTGTTCTTGGAAAATTACCAAGAAAACAGGAACTCGAATTCGCCAAATAAACCGTTTACGCCCAGTTTTGTTCATGATAAAAATTTATAATACAGCCCTGTAAGTAATTTTATAAACTACAGTATATTATGTTTAAGTTAATTTACAGTATGATCTAAATGGGTATAATTAACTGATATCTTATCAAGAGGAGTTCAGTAACTGATGCGGCAAGATTTTTTAGTATTTTTTTTTTATTAGTCTGGTAGATATGTCCAATCGTTGCATGGGCTGTAAGATGTACTTTCAGTATTTTAATTTAGATTTTAGATAGAGGGCGCAAGGGGTTAAGATATAGTAAATTCCACTGAAATCTAGGTAGGTACATATATTAGTTGGAAATACGATTAAAGCAGTTAGTGTTAGAAAGTGTCAGTCAAGGAAGTATTCAATTGAGTAGAAAATGATAATTCAGAGAAGTTAGTGAGTGATTGTGTATGTTCGGTGTTTTTAGTCTATTAAGTTGATCAGTCGGTTAGAAAAAAAATTCTGTAATATATTTATATACATTCAGTATAAACTCTGCATTTAAACGTTGGCCTAACGTAATTAGCTTTGTTAAATAATCACGTAATTCATCGAGTAACTGAATAACATTAACACTAATGCTATTAGTACTGTCTTTTGTATGTCCATGTAACTACTTCGTTAGGTGTGGATGGATCTTCACCAAAATTTGTATGGAGGTTCACTAGGTCTATGCGGGGATACATACAAATTTTCAAATGTATGAACGTTTTTTTGTTTTTTTTCATTTTTACCACTACTTCGCCCCCTGTAGATGGATCTTCACCAAATTTGGCATGAAAGTTTGTTGAATCCATGCGAAGACATTTGTAAATCTGGGGTTTCCCATTTTGTGTTTTGCAGTTTTTATGGGCATTTTTGTGTTATTTACAGTTAATATAAGGAAAGCAACTTTTCATATCGTAAAATAACCTTTTACTAATCATATATTGACATAACTTCTGTCCAGGGGACGGGTACACCAGCTATTAGTTTATATATTTGAACTTGTATCAACATGAATATACACTGTAGAAACGTCACAGAAGAAATAAACTAATTTGTCTGTGTTATGTAAACTGGATCTTGCATTATTTTTACCAGATAATCTATTATATTAATACTCAGTTTTTGTCTGTCTTAAAAATGCTCACGCACCTTACTCTCATAATGCCATGTTCACGTATTTTATTTCAAATTCAATGGATGCCAATAAAAGGCGGATGTATATATATTGTTACGTCTCCGTTCGTTAATTAACTTTCCGTAACTTCGTTCCGACGAAACTTTAGCGACACAAATCCTTACTTAATAAAATTGGTTTATTATTTCCGAATACAACTTTACGATACACTTAATTTCAATATTCGCGCTAAAACAAACACTATAACGAACGAAC